CCTATATTTTGACTACTATTAACAAAATAAATACATAATATTATCTTACTTTAAAAGAAAGATAATGTAACTGGTAAAAAATAAAAAATAAATGTTGCAAAGATGATTAATATTAAAAATATCACATGTTAAACCTTTAAAACACTCTCCTGTAAAGTCTTGTATCTTTTGAGATTATACAGTTTTAGTTTTAATACAAGAAGAGGATATCTAAAATGTGTAAAAATAGAAAATGATTAAGTACGTAAACAAAAAAAAAAACTATTTTTCTTTTAATAATCTTTTTTATAGTAATTTTAACAACTTTGTGATTCGTGTTAAGCGTAAATTAATCCCGGGCTTGATGTACGCAAACTTATGGTAATGTCTGACACGAAGTATTGAGAGTAACGTGAACTCGACCGACTATTCCAACTCAATGGAATTCGCAGGATCCTTGGTGGGCTGAAGCATTCGTCGAAACATTACGACCATATTCTCACTGACAGTATCTTCTCTTATACCTTTCAACGAGGAATTCTTGTATATTTATATAATCTGAATCTCGTAAACGGCTCCAACGATTTTCATAAAATTTAGTATACAGGGGATTTCGGGGGCGATAAATCGATCTAGCTATGATTTATTTTCAGAAAATATTGTTTTATTCGTGTTTTCAATAATCAACTCTTCCCGACATCTATTGGCGAATAATAGTACTATTTTTCTTAATTGAGAGCAACTAACCGTTTTAAAGACACAAGATGGCGTTATCAAAAAAAAAAAAAAACGAGCAAAGCTCGGTCATAGCTAGTATAGCTTATAACTTCAAAGCCTAGTGGAATCCGTGTTTGGCCTCTCGAAAAATATAATTTTTATCAGAATCTAAACGGAAATAACTCCCGTTCTTTTCGAAATAAGGTTGATTTTTCAATCGCAAGCTGATTGTGGAAGTTATAATCTGACACAATATACAACTGAATGATTTTGTTCCTACAAATGTTTCTTTTTAATTTGTTTCGTATTAATAAACACATTTTTTCTTCTATTTAATAATTTTTTACAACGAATATTGGAAATTCGCAATTTCTTCTACCTAATTATCATATTATGAGAAAAAGTCAAGTTTCAAGAACATTTGAGTGGATAACAAAACATTAAAATCACTGCTCAGTTAAGTTAAATGAAGTTAACAAAATTGAGAACGAATATGGAACTCCATATTCGTTCTCAATTTCGTATTCGTATTCAATTTCGTAATATTCGTAAATAAACTTATTTAATTGGCTGATATTGACACGCCTACAAAACTTATCTTATCTTCCGAATAGAATAGTAAGTCAACAGAATAGCTACAGTTGCACGCTAGGTGTCCCCTCACGTAAGAGCCGGTTGAAGAGTCTTGGATGGTCATGTCCCTCAACAAAGTCAACCCGTCAATAACAATCGTGCCAATAACATCGTCATTAGCATTCTAGTTTAAGGTAGCATTTCTTGAGAATTTTTTTAAATCTTAAAATCTCTACACTTTTCATTTTAACACAAATACTAAATAAAAAAACGTTATTTTTATCTTAATCGTTTTCGCGTCTAAAGCACTACAAGATTGAGCGTGTCATCGAAATTTGAGGGTAGGCGGAAAATACGAGTTTGTACAACATGCCTCTGAATCGTACTGAAAAATTCGTGGCGGAATGTGGTACAGAACCAGTAAAAACAGTTTCTGTATTTCGATTCGTTTTGGAAAACCATAAATTACATTTCACACTAATCATACCAACACTTACTGGTACCTATTTCTATCATAGCGGGTAGTTAACGGTATACGATAAGTTTTACTCAATAAAACAAACCAACAAAAAAAATTGTATAATAACTGTAGATTAACTGGTAAGAAAGTCGTGAAGTCAAATGTGCAAAGGCAATAAGGTAATACACGTGCATTTTCAATGCGAAAGTTCAAAATCGGTCATTTGAACTTTTGTTATGGTATGTTTAGTGTTAAATATCATATACTTTGATTAGAAGATTCAGAAACAATCGCAATAAAATTATCCAAAAGCCCATTCAATAATATACACATTATTATTTAATGGAGTTTAACAACGACATTCACTTTTCTTAAGTTCCCAATATCTAGTCGCTGTTGCTAGAAAGGGGTAGACTGAGAAATGTGAAATGTGAAAACGTGGCAAGAACCAGTTCAATAGTAATGTGTATAATTCAGTTAAAGGCAAAACTTTAAAACAATCTGAATTAGACTCTCTTGACGAAGTTTTCGAACAGACACTTTGGTACTGTCTAAAACAAAACCATAATATTTCAGCATTAAAATCCCAACAAGTACTCAATCTTGTAATCATCATCATCTTAGGCCTTACAGCCCAGGGTGGGCCTTAGCCTGGCCCAGTATGTCTCTCCAGACTGCTCTGTTCATGGCTTTCTTTTCCAATTCCTGACACCGATAACTTTGAGGTCAGGTCAATCTTGTAATGCCATAGCCTAAATTCTTATTATACAATAACTATATTTCAATTGTTTTTTTTTCTTGTAACAAACATTATGTGCAGTCTAAGCAAATATACATACAATTTTATTAAATTATGTTTTTTTTTTCATTAATAACGCACCTAGTGACTTCTAATTTATAAACAGAAATAACCCGGTGAGTCTAATTTTGCTCTATACATGTACATAATGTTTTATTTATATATGTATATGTTTTATTTATTTAAAATTAATAATTGAAATAACAGCTATCAACTCTTAAACAATTATAATATATAGTTTTTTTATTTTTTTTTAATATTAATTTTATTACTTATTATTAAACAAAATTAGTCTCACTGTAGGCATTTTAGCTAACATACGCAATAATATGAGATACGTATATTAGTAATAATAATTATTATTATAACACTATTCAGTTGGAAATATTTCCTAGCATAGTTATAAGCTTCAACAGTACAGCAACCTGATTGTTTAGGTGTATATATTATGGAAACTAAACTGATATGTTCCCGAGTGTTGTTTGTGATGGCCTAAGGTTGATGTACCGTTGACTTTACATACTCGTACAAAAAAAAAACTTTTACGCAAAAACTAAATTCTGTAACTTAAAATTATCCATGAATGTGAAATTGTTCTAATTTAAACGTTTAACTGGCCGCATCAATTTCATTATAATATTTTAAATAAGCACTTAAACCGTTTTATTAACAATTCTAAATAGTCAATACTTTAAAAAAATGTTTAATGAAAAATACGTTTTTAATTGGTCTTCAGGTCAGAATTCCACAAGAGACAAACTGAAATAATCACCGCGCAATGTAATCCAAACCGGCAATGGTCATTATTATTTATAGACGAAATCTCATTACAGAAGGATTAACTTGAATTGCGTAAAAATAATTCTTAACCACATCAAACATGATATCTTCTTTAAGCTACTAACTAGTATCTCGAAAAACGCCAAAACGTATTTGGCATATCATCAAGAAGATCCACAAATATATTTTCGATAATTTACAATATAGAGAGAACCAATTAATGACGTATTTAGGTACCTATCGTTATGCAATGATGCGTCATACTGAATTGCATAATGTTCACGTGTAATCCGGTCTTAACGTTAGTCAATTATAGCGGTCAATTCGTTTTTTTTTTAATTGCCATTTGCGGCTCTGGCTTTATGAATTGTGAATGTGTGACGGAATCTTTTAACGTAATTTTCATAAACTTCAAAACATCGAATTTACTTGTGATTAAATAAAAAAATTGTAAAACGTCTTTTATTGCAATTAAAATTAGAAAAGATTATTGAAATCATTATTGCGTGCCATCACAGTTCATTATCTAAAGAAATTTGATATTGTGACACGCGAGCTAGTTGTACTTGAAATTTTTTTTTTAGGACCTATAACAGCCGATTTATTGTTCTATACGTTCAAATAATTAATTATAAAAAAAAAAACATTTTTTAATTATTTTCGTTTCCAACGCCAAGCGGTATTGATTATCATGATCATCATTTAATGAATAGTGAAATCTGAGATTGCTCATTGATCCATCACCGCCAGAGGTGCTTCAGATACTGAATTAAACAAACGTAGGAAGAGGCTATGAACTGGCCGCGTAAATAATGCGAATTCAGTTTTAATGTTTGACCAAAAAACTGATATGACCCTCGCCTGTTTTGTATATCGATAAACTTACTCTCTAACAATTAATCGGGTTGTGACGCATATATACAGTTTTAAACGGCCAATCGTAATAAAGGAACACCGACGAATTGAGTTACTCCCCCGTTTTTGTAGTAGGAAAATCAAGTTTAAAATATCGGAGATCGTTAAGATGCATCATTGCACAGCGGTACCCAAATAAAACGATGCTAATGGAATGAAATGAATTACAATTTAAAGAACTAACAAATTGGGAGGTGATTCTTAAATATTTTACTGTCAATTATTATTATTAATGTGAATAAATTAATTACCTTGTCGACAAAATTTATTTTGTGAAATTTGAAAATCATCTACCTATATGTAGCCTGTATTGCTCATTCAAAAATATTATTAATTAGGCTAATTAAATCGTCTCATCTAATTAATTTTAACTATTAAATGTTGAATTTCGTTACGGCCCCTAGTGATCACGTTGTGATCAGTATCGATAAAGGATATCGATAAAACAAAAACTGAACTCATCTCGATGATTACTGTTTATAAACGAAATATGAGAAATTTAACGTCGCTAGAATTATATTTTATTGCTACGTCTTTCTGCTCAATGGAATTGCTTGTGGAGCGAGCAGTCAAAATCATCCATGATTGGTTTAACAATATTTTCATTTAAATTGTAAACAAAAAAAAACACCTATTACATTGAACTAGTCAAATTGGCATTCATTAGTTAATTTATAAACAATAATTAAAGTAATCAAACAGAACTTGGTGGCGATTAATTCCATATACGCGTGGTTAATACAACAGAATCTTGCTAATGTAATCCGTACCGAGTTAATGCGCGCTACCAGACTTACTGTGCGCGATCAGCCACTGGAGAGTTATGTCGATGTTGTCTTTCTCCTTGCACGATATGGAATAACAGCAAATCTCGCGGTCCTGGATCGCTGACAGGTTCCTTAAATTAGAAACGTCAATTGTTGATTATCATCGTCATTCCCCGATCCATTAACGGTGCTTTTAGGCACCACAAGCACCGGTCACCGTCCTCGTCCTCGCTTGCGACGAAGGGCTCGACGTGCGAATTAACCCATAGACACAGCCCACTGAGTTTCTCGCCGGATCTTCTCAGTGGGTCGCGTTTCCGATCCGGTGGTAGATTCTGCGAAGCACTACTCTTGCTAGGGCCAGTGTTAGCAACAGTCCGGTTTGAGCCCCTTGAGCTCATCTACACACGTTAGGGTGAAGCTGAAATAGCCTCTCAAGGCTATCAGCATAGGTAGGAAAAAAACATCATGTTCCGACGAAGATTTTCAGAGTATGACATAAGTCAAAGCGGCTGCGTTGGAATAGATAAAGGTTGCAGAAGAAGAACAGTAATAAGTAGAATTGGCCACCGCTGAACACTTACAGACTTTTTGGCGGAAACGCGAGGAATGAAGTTGTGTAATTTGTTTTATTTTGTCTATTTAGTGTTTCTTCGGGTTAAAATGTAATAACGGTGGTTTATTAACTGTTTAATATATCTGTGAAAATGCACAAATGTGGGAAAATGAAACAAGCCGCTGGACGTAATTTCTTGGGATCCTCCAAAAAGTCCACTGAAATAATATCAATAAATGACCATCATTTTACTAAGATTATACATCCCAGTTCATTAATGTCTCAAATTAGTCTTCATTTCATTTCACTCCATATCGTCATTTTTCATAAAAATAAGAATAGTAATTAAAATACGACATGACTTAAAAGTCATTGTTACCAGGTTAAAAAACCCCTTAAAAAAATTTTACACTTACATTCTCTCAATGAGTCCGTGTTCGTCGAGAGCTTGCGGCAGATCGCGCTTGTTGCCGAGCACCAGCACGGGGATGCCGGTGAGCTGCTGCTTCTCCAGCAGGCTGTGAAGCTCGTTACGCGACGCCTCGATCTTATCCGGGTCGGCTGCGTCGACCATGTACCTGTTAAATAAACCGACAAACTAATACTACCGTAGATTGGGGGGAATCGGGACCCCTTCCAAATTCAACACTAATTTTCAATGGTTTTTCGTAGGGTAATACCAATAAAATTGAGATTAAAATGATTCCGGAGGCTTACATTTTTATATGAAACTGCAAAAACTGAGAAAACTAGCTTGACCCGATTCACCTTGGCTTTGGGATGAATCAAGTTACATATGGGGACAATAGAGCTTTTCGATAGGGCTGGCACTGTTTAGTTGTTAGGTAGGTACCTAACTTTAAGTAATTTTTTTTTTTTAACCACCCCGCTTTATCTGGTCCCATGGTAAGTTCGTAAAGAACTTGTGTTACAGGTACCAGATAACGGAAATAAATGTATGATTTTTATTATACACATACATATATTTAATATACATCCATAACCCTGGAAAAGACATTTTACATTATTCATACAAAATATCTTCCCTTGGCGGGATTCGAACCCGCGACCACTTGGTGTAGTGACCCTATTCTCCCCAATCTACTGTATCTGTTCGACTAAGCAGAACGGATATTAACAACTACCCTCTTTTGTTGACGTTGATGTGACGTCACGCCAGACCACAACCCATCTGGCGTCTCAAGTATAAGTACAAAAATATAATAGCTTAATTGGATTTGCTGACTGATGCTATATTTTAAAATCTTTAGAGATAATATTTAGGAGAGATTGAGTCACAATGCTGGTGTTTACAGAGCGACGGTTAGTACAAAATCTGTCTCAATTTCTTATTTATTAACTGATATAAATTTATTGTTCGTTAATCTGTGCTCTGGTTATGTTACCCTTACACTAGTCTGCACTACTGCACTATTAGAACATGAAGAACTCTGGTAGTTAGCCTCATTGAAAATCTCCTTGGGTTAGTACCACTATTGTTCCATCGGACAATTCCAGTTTAAGGGCTTACAGTCGTTATTCCAATACAATTAAAGCTTTACCTTCATGTATCAATATAGCAGAATGGTTATGATATCAATGGGCCACTGGTCCAAAGATTGGTGAAATTATCTAACCATATACATCATTTCATTATTATTTATAAGTTAGGCACAACGTGATGCTAAATGATGTTGAAAGGCCAATAACACCACATTGTTATGGTAGGCAGCACCTTGACTCTGTCTGCTGACGTCCGTGAGCGACGGTAACCACTTATCATCAGGTGGGCCGCAAGCTCGTCTGCCTAAAAAGGCAAAAAAAACAACTATCAAATATGCATAGTTTTTTTAAGATTTAGACCAGAATATAGATTCTTTTTAGGTACAACTGACAAAATTCAACAATACCTTACCTAGCATTAAGATCCTTTAGGAAAATTCTAGAAGTTTGCTAGAATACAATAAAGTTCACACCACACATCAATAAATAACAATATTAAATTAAATTAAATATAAATTTGCCATAATAGTTTACGTACACAATAGCATTGACCCCTCTGCAATAACGCTCCCACATTGAACGGAATCTAGGTTGGCCACCAATATCCCATACCTAAAAAAATATAGTTTAATTATTATTTTTAAGATTATGAGTAAAATCACATCAAGATCACTAAAGGTGGCATAGCTTATTTAGCCAGAGAACCGCTCCTCAAACCTTAGTACGAAGGTATTTGAAACTAAAAAAAATAGTGACCCAATTAATTTCAGATTAAAACATCAAGTGTTTATGACTCTTTCACTCTGAATTTGGTATTTAAGGCAGAGGATATGACATATTGTACGACATACAAGCTCCCTCAGCTTTGGTTACTACTTTGTTGTAACTGTTTTTTTTTTATTGCTTAGATTGGTGGACGAGCTCACAGCCCACCTGGTGTTAAGTGGTTACTGGAGCCCATAGACATTTACAACGTAAATGCGCCACCCACCTTGAAATATAAGTTCTAAGATCTCAGTATAGTTTTGTGACTCTGTATGGGTAGGTACCACCACTCTGCCTATTTCTGCAGTGAAGCACTAATGCATTTCGGTTGAAAGGGTGGGGCAGCCGTTGTACTGTAAAACCTGAGACTGATAATGTTTATAATAAACTGAGACCGATAATGCTTACCTTGATTGTTACGTTTCCTTTGGTTACTTTGCGCATGTTGAAACCGACTGTTGGAATCATGTCTTCACTAAACTGGCCTGACTGTTAAAAAAATTTGAAATCAATACAAAATTACTATAACAAATAAATATTTGTATTTAAAAAATATATGTGCCACTACACAGCTAACACAGCCGTGGTGGTTTTTAAAAGTTACAAGTGAACAGTAATGATATTTGATAAATGTTTTTTGTTCAATCCATCCATTAACATCAACAAATAAACAAAAAAAATACAAAAATGTATAAAAACTGTGTAGTTATAATCAGAATTACTTTTTTGGGTTGCTATTCAAAACATTTCAAACAGGTAACATTAACATAAATAAAAAAAGAATTATTAGAAGTCACTTTGGGATTTTTTATAAATGGAAGCTCCATTTACTTAGTTACATTTCAAAATCTACATTTTGAAGATTATTAAATAAAAACCAACTTTTAATTAAGGTTTTTTAAATTAATATGTACATAAACCTACCTAAGCAACATACTATATACATACAGTTTGAGAACAAGAACCGATAAAAATATTTTCATTTATCCGTGGTGCTAATCTATCAAAGCATACGGGTAGTTTAATGAGCTAATGAAAAAATTACTCGATATTATATACCAACGACATGCAAAAAGTCATCGATTATTTTGCGAAAATTTTAAATTTGATCATTAAAAACAAAGTGCGACTTTTGCTCGGCAGATAAAAATAAAAACAAATAATGAAGATTAATCAACAAAAGAAATATTGTTTTCAGATTACACTTACAGCAATGACGTTAACAAAAGTTGTTTTGCCCGAATACTGCAAGCCCACCAGTGTAAGCTCCATTTCCTCCTTCCAAAACAAGCTTTTAATCCAATCTAAGATGCGATTGATTAAAGCAAGCATTTTGAATGATTAAAATCTAAATTCAATCGAAATTACTTTTCCAAAAAATTTACGCCTCTTCTGAAAATCTGCTGTGATTGACGTTGCATTGACGTTTGACAGTTCAAAACTTTCAAACGGCGTTTTGCTAATACTAATGCATCACAAAGGCAAGATCTTTTCGTTTAAACGTGCAATTAAACGTTAAAATACGTGCATACTTATGAACATATATTTTAAAAATACTATTTTACAATCTTAAAAGACCAGCCAATATTTGATGATTAGCTCAGCACTTTCCAGACATAAGCGTAAAGTAAGTTTTAGGTGTCAGTACGGAAGGTTTAAGCAGGTTTCAGATTAAATAAAGAGTGAAGAGAAAAGAAAAAACTGTATATTAAATTTTTCTATTGCGTTTAAAGTAGCATTTTCTTCTGATTTCTGATAATCAATTTAAATAACTTAATTATTTTAAAATCAGTGTTAATTAAAGCTAAATGAACAAAATGCATTGAACGTATTTGGCGAATGGGTTATTTTAAATAAAATGTTTCAATTCACTGGTTTTCACAATAATCTTTTTTGAGTTTCTCTTTCATGTTCGATCTACATAATATGTCGCTTTCCATCATTATCAGGCTGAATTAGATCATTTCTGGAATGAGCAATGCTTGCCCGCATTTTAAAATTAAAAATACTTTATGAAAGACCTAATAAAATGTATCAATACTATATTAGACACTTATATGTTATTTAAAAGTAGGCTATACGAAATAATATTTAGTAGGCAGCGGATTGGCCTTGCCCCTGGCATTGCTGAAGTCCATGGTCAACGGAAACTACTCAACAATATAAATAGGCAATAAAAATATATGATACTCATATAATCATTAATTATATAAATACAAACACAAGGAGAAACCCTCTCCCCAAACCCCTTATCGGCTTGTATCCTGACAGCCTTAATCCAGCTCATGCAAATGCCAGTCACCGTTGACGCCCGATACACATACTTACTGATCGACACACTATTTTTAGACGCTTACAGCTCTGATGCCAGGATCAGGTATCACACTGGTATCCGTACTAGTCGAACTCATCGAAGAGTTCAGCTTGTAATCTAGCACATATCATCAGCCCGGTGAGTTCCTCCCCGGAACTGTTTCGCGAGCTGTAGGGCCTCCTTCGCAGGTACTCTGACTACTGTAAACAAATACTCCTGGCTGAACCGTGCTACCCATATAAGCTGGCGAAGCTTGAAAGGCCGTCGATTACCTTCCATCCCATTAAACGAATAACTATAGCCCTGTGTTCGATTTCGGCAGGTCCCAAGTCAGCTTTTGGAGACTCGGTTCATGTAGGTATTGCAGTTTGACGACAAATCGATGCAGATTTTTCTGGTAGTGGAGCGTATAAGTCCCCACGACCCTGACTATTTCTACCGCAAAACAATCACACGTTCCAGATTGTAGAGTAATACAATAACAATTGAGACTTTGACCTCATGTCCTCATGTTTTATTTATATTTTTTATGTTTGGAATACATGTTTGTTACTATTATTATTATTATCATGTCTCAAGTTGGATGGGGGCTTTTACGTTGTGGTGTCTAGCTTATACCAGGTGAACCACAGCCCTGAGTTTGTAAAAATATTTTAGAACGACCATGGCTGCTCTGAAAAGAGCGAACCGACTGAGAAGAAGAACTAGTTGTCTTGCACGAAATTCAATTTCAAGTTTTCTTCAATTCTTCAAAATTAAATAAGAGTGTAGTAATAAAAAAAACTAAAATATCAGAAAAGCGTCGGAAATTGTTAATTTAACTTGACTGTGTAAATATTTGTTTTGATTACGAAATCCGGTAGCAGTGGTAATTGTTTCTTGCCACAGGAACTCAAAAGGTGATCTAAAAAGTAAAATTTATAGAGTAATAATAAACCAAAATCCGGCGATGTGCGTTCCCAATTTATAATAGGTACCTATGCCTAGCTAGGCCCGTTATATGGGAGCTTAAAGTATTTTTCGCATGACGGCCGTAAACATCGCTGAGAGTAGGAAATAAGCGTGTCATTGATTAAAAGCCGTATTGTTTGGATTATATTATTCCTTTTAAACTTATGTCGTTCAAGCAACAACAAGTTGTTGACAAATAACAATTGACCTTTCTTTCTTGGGGTACCTAAAAGCACCGTTAGTGGATCGGGACGATCCGAAATGACGTGTTTTGGACGACTTTGACTGTTTACCTTTTGATCCGCAAGATTGGCTATGTAGTTTCCGGCGGCCACGATGAGAGGATTCTCGTGCCGTGCCGCATTATCGAAGTGGCGCATTGATGCCGACTGGAGATACTTACTGATGGACTCTAGGTCCAGGTCGTCGTGCAGTCGATGTACCTGATGAACCATGGGGCTCCGACGCAGTGGCATAGCGTGGTGGGGGGCCGGCCTGCCCCGGGCGGCACTTTTTAGAGGGCGGCAAAATTTCACAATAAATAATATTTGAACCATTTCATATTTTTATCGCAACTACAAATTTGGACCGATTGAACTGGCAAAACTGTCTATACTGAATCGCGGGGATTCCCCGTAAGTTATAATTATAGGAAGTACGTGTGCTTTGACAATTCAAAGAAAGTTTTATTGATGGATTGTCAGTTATCCATTTCACATTAACGGATCGTAATTTATGTTACGCTTTAAAATTGTGATTTTTGTGCAAATAAGAACCTACGTGTAGTGGTTATGATTCAACATTGTGAAAAATTGAATTTTTCCGCTCCGTTTACCTGAATTTACACTGTGTTCGTATTAAATACGTATTTTATTTATGTAATTGTATGTTGGACTGTCTGATATGTTGTTCAAGCTTATATAAGCAATAAATTATTATTAAAATAAAATAAAACGGCCAAGTGCGAGGTTTACACTCGCGTACTCACGGTTCCGTTTAAATATTTACGGTTTTCAGACTTTTCCCTATAGATAGATGTGCTGTAAGATATACCTACCGAGATTCCTGTCAAAATTCATGTTTATAGGTCAATGGAATAGAATATTTTTTGTATTAATAAACGCGATTGTAACACTTAGATAAACTTTTTTATTTAAAATCTTACATAAAGATATAATGCAAAATAATGATGACTGCTCTTGCCAAAAAAAAATCTAGAATTAATGTATAGTATACATCAAAGTGAAATACCTAAATAAAAGGGCGGCAAAATTGTCTTTCGCCCCGGGCGGCTGACACCCACGCTACGCCACTGCTCCGACGGCTATCCTGCAAAAACGGGATTGAATAGTTTGAGGGGTTTCAAGCTATAGCGAGCCGCGTGAGCGAACACTACACTTGCATAGGTCATGACGGGGTGTATGCAAGTTTTGTAGAGTACCTATCACCTTATTTCTAAGGGACAATTTACTTCGCTTGCAAATCATCGGATAGATATTTATCTTATGGTTTTCTCTGTGGTTTTAGCACAAGGATAGGCTTGAATTTAGGTAACGAAATTATATTGTATTTTTGTTCTGACGGCATCAGCCTAGCCAGCAGATCTTATTTTTAACTATCATGTTGTAACGGACGTGACGTCATCTGCCATGCCCTGCCGCCAGCCATGCCGCCAAGCCACGTATTAACACGCCCCCTTCCGCCAAAGCCAACGAAGGGAGTTAGTGTTAATAAAACAAGCCTTGCCAGGCATTTCTACCCGGCCCACTGAGTTTCTCGCCGGATCTTCTCAGTGGGTCGCGTTTCCGATCCGGTGGTAGACTCTGCGAAGCACGGCTCTTGCTAGGGTTCGTGTTAGAAACGTCATCAGGCTTGAGCCCTGTGAGCTCACCTACTAGTTAAGGCGACGCTGATATATCCTCTCAAGTTTTGTATAGTTGGGCAGACGATAATATAATAATATGTGCCTACGTATAAAGTGTATGGTGTAAAGCAGTGGTCGCCAAATGGCAGACCGCGAGAACTCAGCAACTTGCACTACAGAGTGCGTTATTTAATAATAATAATTAAAAAAAATCTTAGATGGTTGAACGAGCTCACGGCCCACCTGATGTTAAGTGGTTACCGGAGCCCACAGACATCTACAACGTACCTAAATGCCACCCCCCACTCTTGAGCTATGAATTCTAAGGTCTCAGTACAGCACAACGGCTGCACCACCCTTCAAACCGAAACGCATTACTGCTTCACGGCAGAAATAGGCGGGGTGGTGGTACCTACCCGTGCGGACTCACATGACGTCCTACCACCAGTAATTACGCAAATTATGATTTATTGCGGGTTTGATTTTTATTACACGATGNTAAATGCCACCCCCCACTCTTGAGCTATGAATTCTAAGGTCTCAGTACAGCACAACGGCTGCACCACCCTTCAAACCGAAACGCATTACTGCTTCACGGCAGAAATAGGCGGGGTGGTGGTACCTACCCGTGCGGACTCACATGACGTCCTACCACCAGTAATTACGCAAATTATGATTTATTGCGGGTTTGATTTTTATTACACGATGTTATTCCTTCACCGTGGCAGTCAATCGTGAACATTTGCTAAGTATGTATTTCATTAGAAAAATTGGTACCGGTGCATCGCAAGATACGAATGCATCGGACGTCTTATCCTTTAGGCCACCACGACTTCAAAATGTATCTCCCGCATTATCATTATTGACGTCAATTCGAAAACGGCGGCCGGGCGAAGTAACGAGGTAACAAGCGGGAAAGAATTTGCGAATTACGAAAGCGTTGATCGTCGCGGTGGGGAATTCGATTTCGACATACTGAAGACCATTTCCAGGATTTTATGCCACTAGCTTCAATAATCTTTACTCCAAACTTCCGACAGATAGTTCGAATAATATTATGTAAAAAAATATCTTAGTTATTTCTATAATTACATTGATTTAATAAATAAAAAATTCTATAAAAAGTTGCGCGTACCACAATGGTCATTTAATTTCTTAAAACGGACCCCGAGCGAAACTAATTGATGACCCTCGGTATAAAGGTACAGTTAATTTAAATCTTTCATGGATATAGCCTATTGCATATATAGATATTAGATATTAGATCTATATATATATAGAGAGTCCGACATAACCCGGTTCGTTACCCCCCCGGACCGGGTATCCGTAAATGGATTCCCCAGCGTTAAAAAAAAAAAAAAAAGGGTAACCTTAACTAGTAGGTGAGCTCACGGAGCTCGCTTACTACAATGTAAAATAATATCTATATATGCAATAGGCTATATCCATGAAAGATTTAAATTAACTGTACCTTTATACCGAGGGTCATCAATTAGTTTCGCTCGGGGTCCGTTTTAAGAAATTAAATGACCATTGTGGTACGCGCAACTTTTTATAGAATTTTTTATTTATTAAATCAATGTAATTATAGAAATAACTAAGATGTTTTTTAACATAATATTATTCGAACTATCTGTCGGAAGTTTGGAGTAAAGATTATTGAAGCTAGTGGCATAAAATCCTGGAAATGGTCTTCAGTATGTCGAAATCGAATTCCCCACCGCGACGATCAACGCTTTCGTAATTCGCAAATTCTTTCCCGCTTGTTACCTCGTTACTTCGCCCGGCCGCCGTTTTCGAATTGACGTCAATAATGATAATGCGGGAGATACATTTTGAAGTCGTGGTGGCCTAAAGGATAAGACGTCCGGTGCATTCGTATCTTGCGATGCACCGGTACCAATTTTTCTAATGAAATACATACTTAGCAAATGTTCACGATTGACTGCCACGGTGAAGGAATAACATCGTGTAATAAAAATCAAACCCGCAATAAATCATAATTTGCGTAATTACTGGTGGTAGGACGTCATGTGAGTCCGCACGGGTAGGTACCACCACCCCGCCTATTTCTGCCGTGAAGCAGTAATGCGTTTCGGTTTGAAGGGTGGTGCAGCCGTTGTGCTGTACTGAGACCTTAGAATTCATAGCTCAAGAGTGGGGGGTGGCATTTACGTTGTAGATGTCTGTGGGCTCCGGTAACCACTTAACATCAGGTGGGCCGTGAGCTTGTTCATCCATCTAAGATTTTTTAAAATTATTATTATTAAATAACGCACTCTGTAGTGCAAGTTGCTGAGTTCTCGCGGTCTGCCATTTGGCGACCACTGCTTTACACCATACACTTTATACGTAGGCACATATTATTATGTTATCGTCTGCCCAACTATACAAAACTTGAGAGGATATATCAGCGTCGCCTTAACTAGTAGGTGAGCTCACAGGGCTCAAGCCTGATGACGTTTCTAACACGACCCCTAGCAAGAGCCGTGCTTCGCAGAGTCTACCACCGGATCGGAAACGCGACCCACTGAGAAGATCCGGCGAGAAACTCAGTGGGCTGTGTCTGAGGGTTAATTTACTCGTCGAGCCCTTCGTCGCAAGCGACGGGTTCGACTAGAGCGATGACCGGTGCTTCAGGTACCTAAAAGCACCGTTAGTGAATCGGGAGGATCCGAAATGACGTGTTTGGGGCGACGTCGACTGCTTTCCATTCTGTCCGCAGGATCGGGAATGTAGTTACCGGCGGCCACGATGAGAGGGTTCTCGTGTCGTGCCTTTATCAATGTGGCGCATCGACGCCGACTGAAAATACTTACTGATGGACTCTAAGTCCAGGTCGTCATGGAGGTCGACGTTTCTGACGTACCACGGAGCTCCGACGGCTAAGTATTCTGCAAAAACGGGATTGAATAACTTGTAATTATTTGAAGTTAGTGCGGGCCGCGTGAGCGAACAAACACTACGCTTGCATAGGTCATAACGGGGTGTATGCAAGTTTTGTAGAGTGCCACCTTATTTCTAAGGGCAAAACTTGTCTTCGAGCTTCATACCGTACTTTCCGGAATGCTCTAAAAAATTATTTCAGATGATCTTTTTTATCATCTTACACCGCCGTCGCATCAAAACGCAATTTATACAGATTGTCCTTACATTAACCTTTCCGCTTCAACTTGAAGCGGAAAGGTTAATTAAACTTATCCTTGAACTTCAAGGATAAGTTTTGACTAGGCAATAATAATACACAACGCGGAATGCATTTCATAAGGCTATGCGTCATGATAATCGTCTTATCGTTGCCGCCGCTGACTACTCCCCGAATCCTGATCACGCAGGAGCCAGTCACCGTCGACGCCCTAGACACGTCCTTACCGATCCATCAGATTCAATAACCTTTGAATTAGACGCCTTCAGCTCTAACACTAGGAGTAGGCTTAGGGACCCCGGTAACCGTACTCGTCGAACTCGACAAAGAGTTCGCCGTGCAACCTAACCCATGAATCAGCTCGCTGAGTTTCTCGCCGGATCTTCTCAGCGGGTCGCGATTCCGATCCGGTAGTAGATTCATTCGCGAAGCAGCTGCTCTTGAGCTGTTAGGTCTCCTTCGGAGGCGCTCGGGTAGCTGTTAGCAAATCCCACCCCTCCTGGCTGAGCCTTTGCTCGCCCACCTGTCCTGGTGAAACTGGAAAGGCCTCCGGGCCACCAGTAATCCTTCAATCATAAAAAAATGTGTGCGTGTACTAGTGTACACACGTAAGAAGTGAAACTTGTTTATGGCCTTATTTTTCGAAAAATGATCTACATGCAACTTTCTAGAAATTGGTTAAATAAAGTTAAATTAGATAAAGTTTAAACAAAAGGATTTTATTATCATAGACATGAATACAAAAAAGTTAAATTAGATAAAGTTTAAACAAAAGGATTTTATTATCATAGACATGAATACAAAACAGATGGCGCGTAACGGAAAAAAGTGACGCGTAACCGAAAAATGTGACGGTAAATTTTTTTCCAACGCCGATAAGGAAGTTTCACTTCAAAAATAAAAAAAAATGCATTTCATCTCGCTGCGTTACTGAAGCTTAAGCCATGTCCAGGTCTGAAAGTCCAAAAATCAAGTCAACAAAACCTTGATAGGCAATAAATTATTTGCAAACTACAAAGGTAACCTGAAAACTTAAATTGGTTACAATAATATAAGACAGATCGGCAGCCGGGCTACGGCGCGACACGAGTCACGTCATTGTGGTCACGTGCGTCTGAGCGTGGCCTAACACAGCGGCTCTCAAACATTATAAATGTATATTGTATGTATAAGTCGCCCGCCCTGCTTTCCGTACGAACATACGTTCTAAGTAACACGACATTACGTATAAGTCTATTAGGTTAGACTCTCAGAAAGTTTTCAAGGAAAATCCCGAAGCACGGGCTGAATAATGTGCTCATTAAACAGCCCCGTGTCATATTTTGACGCTTTGATCGGAGTCACATGACTCGCACCGGCCGGCATTCTATCGCGCCGCGCAGAATTCATCAGAATGGCTGCAAAGCGCTCGCTGTGATGACGTGTGCACTACTTTATTCTATATGCAGTTGAATACGACCAAAACAACAATTTATAATCGTATTGTTCGCATCAATTGAAAATGGATTGCAAAGATTTAACATAACTAAGTGTCTGCTTTAGTGTTTTATTTGCTTCGGCGGAAATGTGATAAAGTTTTCGAATATTAAATTAACAAGTGAGTGTTGATTTTGTAAAAAAATAGAACAGTGAGTGTTTTTTGTTTTTGTTGTGATACAAAGTGAATATGGAAACACGACATTATTGGGAGGAAAACGGACATGCCGTTAAATACGACAAGTAAGTGGAATACTCAATTAATTCATTTTAAAGATGTTGTGGTGATATTAAAATTATGTGCCAGAGGCCTTGAAATACAAAACTAATTGCTTGAAACTGGACATATCTGATTGAGAGGAGTTGTTCGAAGATGAAAGCCATGCGTATGGAAGTTAATAACAGTAGTAACATTTTTTTATTATTTAGTATCGTGGTAGTGTTTGTTTTGTTTTAGTTGTATTATTAATTATGCTTGTAATGGGCGTAATTAATTCAATTGCAAATTAAGGATACGTACCTTCTGTGGTTACCTATCAAACAATTTTTTATACCTATTTTTCGTGACAAATTTAATTGAGACTCGTTGAATAATTTTCTTGACTCTCACTCGAACTCCAGATTGCGTGATTAATTTCAATGAGTACTTAACTATACAAAAAAATGCTTAAGTTTTATCACAAACTTTAACCAAAACAACTACCTACTTATACCTGAGACCTTAGAACTTATATCTCAAGATGGGTGGCGCATTTACGTTGTAGATTGCTATGGGCTCCAGTAACCACTTAACACCAGGTGGGCTGTGAGCTCGTCCACCCATCTAAGCAATAAATAAAAAAAAAGTTAACTACCTAATCTTGATTGATACCATCTTTAGCATTGACCGATAGAAGAATGTAACTTAATCATAACAAAATTTTATTTTTATAATTGTATTTGCACATGTACTTGTTATTGGTGGTAGGACGTCTTGTGAGTCCGCACGGGTAGGTACCACCATCTTGCCTATTTCTGGCGTTGTACTGTTAAAAGTGAAACGTCTCAAATGGTTGGGTATTTACATTGTAGATGTCTATGGGCTCCAGTAACCACTTAACATCAGGTGGGCTGTGAGCTCGTCGTCCACCCATCTAAGCAATAAAAAAATACTTATTAAAACGCAAATGTAATTATTTATTTGATTCAATATATTGTTATTTAGGTAATAATATTTACTAGCAATAAGTTATTTTTATTAATTACGATACGCCGCGAGTAGGTATAATTTTATTATAATAAGTGTTTACTTACGTTCGTACATAAGTGCCATTATGTACCTATATAGAAATAATTCTATAATTATATACTTGTTTTTGTTCAACAAACAAAATTTACTAAGGATAAATGTACGTACTATTGTAATACTGTTTATTTGTTATATTAATAAAAGAAAACAGTACATAAATAATTACTTCCAATTTTAATTTTCTTAAAATATTCAGAGGACGTTTTGCATAGGTATTTATACCACAGCACTGGTCAATCGTATGATAGCCTATATCCCTAATACTGGCAATAACGACTAATCCTGGCCTAAATACTTAACGTCCTACCCTAAATTCTAGGGGCCTATTACCTGTACTTATTTTCGGATAAAAACTCTGATGTACATTATATGTACTTCCTAACGCTAATCCCGTCTGCGACAGACTGGAATAGCCCCTTATGCTACTAGCGAATTAGTAGGGGAAAAAATATCCAAAGTCTTAACAAACACGATGTCTATTATAAAGGCGAAACCATGACGTCATACTTAGGAGGGTAGCCGTGAGGTTGAGATCAAAGCAACGTGAGGCTGTCCTCAAAGAGGTGTGCTATCGCCACTTGATTCGTACATTTTTATCGATGACTTTGAGAACTAAACAAAGCCTACTTCTACTGCCACGGCAATTCATGAGATCTGGCAATCTGTAGGACTGTGTCAGATTAAATCTGCAACAGACAAAAAATTGAACACTGGTATTCGCAAAATAAAATCAAAGCCAGTAAGATCGTCCTAGTACCGTATACCCACAAAAGCCGCCCAATATTCTAGAAAAACTTTAGCTTTCTTCGTGAATATAAAATAATTTATCTTTAGCCCCGGACAAAGATTCATTTGTTACAGACATATTGAGTATCGCCATTGTAAAACCAATCCCTGTAATATATACTTTTGCAGATTTCTACGTTTTGATTATTGTGACCAATTTTTAAGCAAATAATCCGCAGATAAATAAAGACAATGACAGTAGGTCACTCGCAAGACTAAGATTACCTACGGTATAATCTATTTAATCGTATCTAATGTTCTCTTAAACTAAACGTCATAATATATTTAAAATTGGTCAAGAGCGAGAAATATTGTAAATGGGCCCTAGCCACTACTAAAAAATCGATAAATCCTAACAGCCTGTAGCCGATAATATACAATATTTAAAAAAGGAACTCTATGTACTTTTTTTCAATTTTCATTTAGGTTTTAAATCCACTGAATTTCTCAAAATTTTCCGTCATTAAATATCGATTAACTTCGATCAATATTCTGTTAATAAAGGTATCTTACAAATTGTATAACGTAATATTCAATATCGATCAATAATAATATCGAAAATAATCGTTTAAAGTAAAATCGATGCCTCCAATGAACACTACGCTAACTCCAAATTCGTAGATTTACAGGAGGAGCGTTTAAATGAAAAAAGTTGATAAAATCTTTCTAAATCTTTAATCTAATCTTTTAAAATCACTCTTGCTTCGAACCCCATCAATAATAATTTGTAATACTTTTAAAATAGTGAAGCGATTTGCGTGAAAAACGAAAATTTCAAAATTTTGAGTTAGAGTAGTGTTCATTGGAGCCATCGAAATTATCGATACATAGCTACAACAAAAATGAAAACTTTTAAAATAATTTCCATTAAAGAAACGGATACTTTTACTTTTTAGATATTCCTAATTGTTTTATAAGTTACATCATCCCGTTTGTGTGTCTTTAATCTTTATATCAATTACATAGTGATGTTCATTATTCTCCGAAAAACTAGATATGTAATTAAGATGTTAGTTATCTCCATGTCTTTACAAGCTATAAAAATCATTGCTTTTTTTATTATTTCAAACCGTAAACGTGTCATCTATCCCGTCACACATACTCTACGTTATTTGTAAATCTCGCTTAAACATTATTCATTCTTAAGATGTTTTTATTTATTAAATAAACGTAAACTTTTATTATTATTATAATAGTTATTATGAAACTTATTTACTGGTGGTAGGACCTCTTGTGAGTCCGCATGGGTAGGTACCACCAACTTGCCTATTTCTGCCGTGAAGCAGTAATGCGTTTCGGTTTGAAGGGTGGGGCAGCCGTTGTAACTACACTGAGACCTTAGATCTCGTTGTAGATTCTATTAGCTCCCGTAACCAATTAAAACCAAATTGGCTGTACGCTCGTACAGCCATTTATGCAATAATAAAAAAAAAAAGATTTTTTTTTAAATGTAACCAAAAATGGAACAATTCAATAACGATTATAAGCAGCGAAAGCGAATCAAAAATAACAAACATCTTGTCGTACACGTGAGTATGGCCGGAGTCGCGAGGGCGCGAACGCTGCACGCGTCACGGCAGCCGCGGCCTCCACACGCCGAGCGAAACGTGACCGCGCGCGCACACACACGCAGCCGGCACACACACGCGCACCCGCCACTAGCACGAGCTACGTAACTCACGTTCTTATCGTATTTAAATTGTTCTACTATTGGTCGAGACGGTATTTGTGAAATAATAAGTACTGAAAATTTGTAAAACAAATTATATAGTTACATATTAGGGTATGAAGTGGCGCGTTGCATAATATTATTAGGCCACTGAGTTTCTCGCCGAATCTTCTCAATGGGTCGCCTTTGTGATCCGGTGGTAGATTCTGCGAAGTACTGCTCTTGCTAGGGCCAGTGCTAGCAACACTCCGGTTTGAGCCCCGTGAGCTCATCTACACGTCACGGAGAAGCTGAAATAACCTCTTATGGCTATCAGTATAGGTATGAAAAAAAAGTACTGAAAATTTCTAAAACAAATTACATATATAGTTACATTTTTGGTATGAAGTGGCGCGTTGCATAATATTATTAGGCCACTGAGTTTCGCGCCGAATCTTCTCAATGGGTCGCTTTTTTGATTCGTTGGTAGATTCTGCGAAGCACTGCTTTTGCTAGGGCCAGTGTTAGCAACATTCCGGTTTGAGCCCAGTGAGCTCACCTACACGTCAAGGAGAAGCTGAAATAGCCTCTTATGGCTATCAGTATAGGTAGGGAAAAAAATACTGAAATTTTCTAAAACAAATTACATATATAGTTACATTTTTCGGTATGAAGCGGCGCGTTGCATAATATTATAGTATTATTACAGTATTTGTCATAAAAAAATAATGAAACGTTTAGTTGTTTCAAACCATGGAATAATGATTTGTGACATTAATTGGTAGGGTATCAAAACTTTTTGCGTTCTAATGAAAATTTTAAATTTATGCATAAAATAGACGTACATATTTATATTTGGAAGCAATGAGCAGTATCGAATTCACTGAATATTAAATCGTAACCGAACTGTTTCGATTTAATAATTTCATAAATTCTATTACTGTACATAATTAAACACGTATTAAGAAAAGAAAAAGAAAAATGAAATGTTTTTATTTTAAAATTTAGTATTACTTAATAAAATTTTAATTGAACTTAAAAGTAAAAGTGATTGGAGACTTTACGTTTAAAACATAAGGTTTATTCCGAAATTAAAATTTTGTATATAATTGAAATCTACGAAATTGGCGCGTTCATGAGTAAGTACTTATTTGCAGTACGCAGCAGGTTGTCTGTTCCTGGTATTGCTGATATCCATGGGCGAAGATGACTACTTAGCATCGAGTAGGTAATTTGCCTACGAAGTCAATAAAAAAAAGTATCCTCTTTGGTTTTCGCAAATCGTAAAAAAGAATTAAAACTACTTTTACGGTTTTAACTCCCGTTTAAAAGTATCCGTAACTGGAGATCATGAACATGAAGTTAAACCAGTAATTGTATTTATGGATGTAAGTAAGGTTGTATTTTCCAAAAATATCGCATTAAGAAAACCTCGTTTTTATAATTTAACCAAATAATCTATAAACAATTTTAATAATCACGAAAGACCCAAAATAAATCGATGTAACACTCAAGAAAATC